TCTTTCCCTTCAGGGTGTGATCAGTGTGCAGCTGGTGGTTACCATGGTAATGGCCAGCGTGATTCAGAAGATCATACCCCACTATTCCTTTGCACGATGGCTCCTCTGCAGTGGCAGGTAATGACGAAGTACAGCCCACTGTGCTGCTCTGGTATCCTTCTCGATAGTCAACCCAAAATGGCATCTTTGCACACAGCATATCCTGTTTTATTGTTCATATTAAAGGGCCCATCAAAAATGCATCATTATGGTGTTTCAGTAAGACCAAAGGGTATCATCAAAAAGCTCTACGACCCAAGAGAACCGCTAACGAAAATACAAGCCACGCTTGTTTCCCCCCTTAATTAGCGCCATATGTGTTCAGGGTAAACAGCTCTTCCAAATGTGCTCAGTAATTCATCTGTGCTTGTTTTTGGCTGCAAAAATAGTTTGGGAAAACTCTGGCTCGAGTGCAGGGCTTGAAGTGTTGCCCAGGAGACTTTCATAATGAACTTTTCATTAGGAAGTAAACATGCAAAAACAACTGAAAGCAGTACAGCCCCCTCAGGGCTCGTGACAGGCCAGTTTCTAAACAAAGGGGTTGTGGTAAATGTTTGCCACCAAAGATCTGCTAATTTTATTACCATCAAACAACTTTAGTAATTTGAAGAAATGGTTTACATGAAAATGGAAATTCTGTGATCATTCACCCTCATTACACACCTGTATGCCTTCTGTCTACTGTGAAACGTAAAAGGAGAAATTCAGAAAGCTGCGGTTGTCGCTCTTTTCCATGCAGTTACAAGATCTGGAAAAGACGGAACGGAAGATTTCAACCTTCAAAAAAGGTCACAAAGGCACCACAAAAGAATTATGAAAGTGGTCCATGCAATGAAAGTCAATAGGTTGACTCGCGTATTGTTTAGACCCCATTGACTTTCATTGTATGGATAAAAACATTCTTCAAAATATCTTTTCTATCTGTTCTGAAGAAGAAAGTCAGTCATACAGGTATGAAACTGAATGACTGAGAGTAAATGATAACAGAATTAATTTTTGGGGTGAATGTTTCCTATTATATTAAGCAGTACTACTGTTTTTAACATAGATAATGAAAAGAAATGTTTCTTAATCAGCATATTGGAATGATTTCTAAAAGATCAGGCGACACTGAAGACTGGAGTAATGACTGCTGAAAATTCAGCTTTGGGAATAAATGACATTTTAAAATAAAATAGAAAAGAGTTTAAATTGTAGTAATATTTCATAATACATTTGTTTTACTGTATTTTTGATCAAATAAATGCAACCTTGGTGAGCATAAGAGACTTGATAAAATCTTTCTAACCCCAAACTCTTGAACAGTAGTGTGTATATATATATATATATATATATATATATATGTTTTCAAGAGCAATCAGTATTTCAGAGATGGTGATATACTTCTTGTCTCGTTAGTCTGCGTTGGTACCAGCACCCCACAGAAGATGAGCTGAGGACCTTAGCTGGAAAACAGCAGAAAGGAGGCAAGAGCAAGAAGGACAGGTACAACATAGGCACAGCATCATTGTTGGACGTTTCTCTGGATTTGTGCACATTTGACTTTTGTGTGTCAAAGAACATTTTGTGGCTACAACAGAGTGGTAAAAATCAAGCAGCTTTGTTGCCCATATTCTGCAGTGGTCTAAGCATACAATGCTAATTCCCTGAAAAGGTAGACTAGCCTGTGTCTAGCAGCTTAGTTTTGATAGTCAGCTCTATTATACCTACCTCCTGCTCTCAGACAAAAGCCCATTTTTGCTCTGCAGGGAGCTCTTGGGCCATTTTGTCAGGCAGGTATGCTGCAATCCAGTGCAGAGAGACTACCATGCCCACAGTGCTTTTGTGCTGAACACCATTGTGCATACTGACCTATGTAAACAACAGAGACCCAGAGGAGAAGTCCAAGAATCTCAGGTTCAGCTGGCTTGGAGCCACGGGGCAGAAAGCTTGCATACTAGACCCGTTCACGCTAAGACCTGTGCCCCTTTCCAATATCCCAACATTCCCAGCAGAGCCCGACATTCATTTCTTTATTCTTTGTCATGCAGACAGCATTAGAGATGGGTGGAAATATGTTTGATTTGAACGTTGTGTGGATTTAGCTCTTTTTCAATAGCGAGGAGGGCTCCTCTAATCCCCAGTAAAATGTGCAAACTCTGGTGTTTGGTTTCCAATAGAGACAGAGCCCTCAGTTAGGACTGCGAAAAATCTGCTGTCCTTCGGACAAAGTTGCAGATCCCACACGTTGATACCTGCTTCTCCGTTATGTTCTTTTGCTTTCGATCATCATTGTGAATAAATGAAATTGTATAATAAATTTAGCTTCAGTGTTAATAATTAAAGGCCCTTAAAAAAGTAAAAAAAAAAAAAAAACTTTAAAAGTCAAAACTGGCAGTAAAGACATTACTTTTTATATGATTTGAACTTTCTATTCATCAAAAAAAAAAAAATCCTGAAAACAGATGTATCATGGTTTCCACACAATCTTAAGGAGCACAACTGTTTTCAACATTGATATTAAATGTTTCTTGAGCACCAAATCAGCATATTAGAATGATTTCTGAAGGATCATGTGACACTGAAGCTGAAAATTCAGCTTTGCCATCACAGGAATAAATATTACTGTTATTACTGGATTTTTTAAATGAAAGTCTTTGTAACCATTAGAAACTTTAAAATATCTTACCAACTACAAACCTTTGAGTGTATATAAGTAAAATTGTTTGTAGTCATAATTATGAGCATTCATAATTTTTTGGCCAACATAATCTTTTGGCCATAAAAACTGATTAGTATTACATTTAATTTGATGATACTCTATGATGTTAATATATGATTGATTTATAGATAGATAGATAGATAGATAGATAGATTTTTTAAATTTATTTATTTTTTAATTTAATATTTTTTAATTTAATTTATTTAATTTTTTTTTTTATTTTTTTAAAGGGGTCATATGATGCGATTTCAATTTGTCCTTTCTCTTTGGAGTGTTACAAGCAAGTACTTGTCCAAAAAACTACTTGAGTAAGAGTAAAAGAGTAGCCTATTTAAAAGTACTCATGAGTAGTGAGTACTGAGCTGTGGATTCTACCCCCTCATAATAAAAGCTGTACTCCGCAATTTATACTTTTTTAAAACATTGTACATTCTGTAATTCACATTATCTTGTTTGTCATGAAGAATGAAGAATATCTTTCATCGAGCAGTTTTTTGCAATTTTGACTGCCAACTCTTTAAAATACATCAGAACAGCACGGAAACAGTATTCAGTTGAAGAAAAGATGAAGGTTATTCTCAGTACAATCATCCCCATTTAAATCATAACGTTTAAAAAAATAGATTTAAAATCATGTGTAAGGCCACTGAGACAGCATGCTGTTGTTGCACATAAAATATTAATGTTTAGAACAGTGCAAATACAAACACCATTAGAAACTCATAGTTCAGCATCACACACCATGATATGGGTTAAAATGAGAGCCCATTTCTCTCCAAAACGGTGCCAGTTTTAGCGTTTTGCTATAAAGAAATAAGAATAACTAAACTTGATAATTTATGTTACAATTTTAACATAAATGCACATTGTTCTAATCTAGAAGGATGGCATAATGCCATACCTTTTACACATTTAAAAGCATTATGTTATGCTGATAATACACGAGTTTTGAGCAGTGTAGAGTAGCACTTGTTGTTTTGTCATTTCTCCGATCACAAATGCAGACATGGTTTTATGTTTACGCGGCGCGATGTAACGCAGCGCGTACAAAGACAGTATAAATCATTATAATCTGTAATTATGTCCCCACTGGATGCTAATGGGTTTTAATGTTTTTGTCTCATCGCTCCGGCCGGGACACGGCATCACAATATGGTAAGGGGCGTAACATTTCCGTCACACGCTTGAGGTATTCGGCCAATCACAACGCACTGGATAGCTGGCCAATCCGAGCACACCTTGCTTTTCAGAACGATGAGCTTTGTAAAAATCGACGCGTTTCAGAAAGGCGGGGCATAGAGGAGAAACAATAATGTCCAGTATGTGGAAAATAATGTGTTTTTTTAACCTTAAACCGCATAAACACATTTCATTACACCAAATACACAAAATAATGTTCTTTTTAGCAACATCATATGACCCCTTTAAAGGAAATTAAGTACATTTCAGCTTTGGGCCAAACTATTATAAAAGCTACTACAACAACTACTAAAAGCTATTACAACATAAAGTGTTATCAATTTGTATCGCAACAAGAGTTATGATAAATTATATTGTATACATTGATAATAAAATGTATTTACTTAAGTAATGCTAAAAAGAACATTATTTCCATTGACAGTCACAGCTGCTTCATTACTAATTCATTGTAGGCTATATTGTGAAGTGAAGAGCAGGTAGTCATGACAGCTGCATGAAACCATTTTACTAGTTTAATCAACTTAAACTGTGACATCCTACACAAGTTATCCGAGTATTACAAAATAAATGAAACAAAAGTGTCTTTTAAAATGTAATTGGGAGCACCTGAACTTCTCACCCTGATGATGACATCCCACTTCACATAGCAATCAGAATTTACACTGCCAGGAAGGAGATATGAGTCATGTGACGCATTGCATTGTGTGATGAGGTTAAATGCCAGAGAAGCCCCGCCATCTTACAACTGAAGCCACTTACAAGAGTGCTGAAACATCATAAATTAATGGATAAAGTAGCCCAGATGCTCCTGAATAAATTCTGTCTTCTCTAAACAGAAGAGGATGATAACAGCTAGCTCTTGGAAGAGCATACTCTTATCACTTTGAACATTTAAAAAAAAAATATATATATATATGCTAATTCTTTTTTATGTTTGCCCAGATGTTTTGAGTAATGTGCTTTGAAAAGTGTGCTTTCTAATAATAAAACTGTTGTGTTTTTCTATTCAGTTTTATTCAAAGCATAAATAAAAAGCAACTTTAATGCAATTTATACAATTTATACTGGCAAGTGAATGGAGAAAAATAGCCAAGCTCTAATACTCAATTTTGTTTTTTGGCCCAAAATGTCCTTGGTAATTTTTGTGGGTGTGTTTCAGGTTAGCCTGATTTCAGTGCTATTATATGTGCTATGTTCACCTTTTGCTTCTCTCAGGAAGTACAATGGGCACTTAGAGAACAAACCAATGACTATTCCCAAAGACATCGACCTTCAGCTGGAGACTAAAAGCATTGCAGAGGTGGACACACTAGGTAACTCACCTGTTGTCATTATATGAAACCTAATGAATCCTTGAGCTTCAAGGATCTTCTTAGTGAGATGGGTTTCTAAAGCTTCTCTTTTTGTCTGTCGGTGGTTGTTTTTTTTGTTTTTTTGTCTAGCTCTGCATTACTTTCCTGAATTCCAGTGGTTGGTGGACTTCACGGTGGCTGCCACAGTGGTGTATCTCATCACGGAGCTGTACTTCTGTGTGGCGGAGCCCAGTGAGGAGATGAACATCAGTGTGGTGTGGAGCCTGCTGGTCTTGGCCTTTGTCACGTATCCCCTGTCTAGCTTAAAATACTGAAGGAGCGTTTCCTCTCCTCGTCTGTTGCATTGCTTTTCCTTTTTCATATTTCATTGCTTGTAATTTCTGTAATTATTTATTAGTGTTGTTGACAAATAACATGGATTTTTAATAACAGATTTTTCCCCCCTATATCAAGATTTCAATTTAAAATTAATATACAATACCATTCAAACATTTGGGGTTAGTAAGAAAACTGTTATTTAAAAATGCGATTACAGTTTTACAATATTACAGTTTTACTGTATTTTTGATCAAATAAATCAAAAGCATTGGTGAGTGTAAAAGACTT